AACAAGCGAGCTTGCGAGCTTGTTATCCGTGCGAGCACGTAAACTTCAGGTAACGGTCGAGAATTGTACAATGTTTTATGATATTTTGAACTGTAAACATCTCTTTACTGAGCTCTATCTCAAATGGTAAAGAATCTTTTAACAGGCTAGCCCGTAAATAATTCTACAGGCTAGTTATAACGGGCTCATTTTCATCAATAAGTACTAAAGCAGCATACATGTTTATTATTGATAACCATATTATACAGAAAACAAGAAATTTAAGAACAATAATATTTACAAGTATTAAACATTAATTGTACAGGCAGCTGCAGACAACATTCTTCGAAATTAAAACTTCGCCTGACCAGGGTACTATACTGATCAAAATTGATGTCGTCATCGGCTGTTGATTTTAATTGAATAAGTAATTGTTCTGTTGCTGAAAAAATAAATAGGAATTTTAAAAAGAAAAATGTGTGTTATGCGAAAAATCTTCAAATAAAAATATCATAAAATCACTTATAGATAACGCGCCACAATTATAAGCCGCAGTTCGTACTACAGCATCGTCTATCGAATGTGCTATAATCTCTATCAAATCAGAGTCATCCTATTTAGCTCGGGTGCGTTTCAACTTTTCGAGTTTGATTCCCGCATAACTGCGAGCCTCTGAGATATTGTAACCTATTGCATCACTTAAAAGTATACCTTAATTCTTTTGTTTGGGAGAAGATTCACAAAAGTCAACCTTAAAATTGTCCCACGTATCTTCAGTTGGCTGCCATGCGGCAAACCATTCTTGCGCGGATTTCAATAAAAAAAGGGCCGACTCTACTTACAGTTTCTTGATCTGACCACCCAAATTCGGTTTTATAACCCTCCATTTTTTACATTCACACATGGCTATGTGTGCGTCTGGGTTGAAACTGGACAATGCTAGGAGAATAGGAGTGGTTTGGACAGGAGCTGCGGCTGCCTGTTCATTTTTGTCAGCACGCTTTTGCAGATTTTCCAAGATGGATGCAATTGCCCGCAAGGATTTTACCATGTCTTTTTCAACTATAATGTCTTTTTCAATCACCAGAACACTGAACAGAATACGGAGCGATTACGAAAATACAGGCACACCCCAAACCTGATGTTAGATTTTTCATTTTTGTTGAAAGAAACACCGACCCAAATGTCAACCTGCCCTGCGCGTGGTACATCCTGCTACATAAGAAACGAGGCTATGGCGACCGAGTCGAGGCGGTATAACCTCAAAACCCTTGTCGACCAACAGCTTCGGGTGGAAGAGTCGAGAAGGAAGGGCACTCTTTTGTCCTGGAGTTGGGAAACCAGCTCCAAAGGCGGAATAACAAGGTCATTAATATAAATTAAAAAGATCAGAGGTCCCAGCACTGAACTCTGCGGGACACCGCACTTGACACTGAGGGAAGAAGAAATTGAACCCGAACTCACCACTGATTGATCTCGACAGCTCAAATATGAATTGAACCATGACAATACTGGCCCTCTAAAACCATACCGTTCCAACTTTCTCAGCAGTATCCCGTGATCCACACAGTCAAAAGCCTTTGAAAGATCACAGAATACCGCCGCGACAGCTTCACCTCCGTTTAGATTAGAGTACACACTCTCCAAGAATCCAAAAATGGCGTCATGGGTGATTTTTGAGGCTCGAAAGCCGTATTGTTTTGGGGTGATCAAATTAAATTTCAACTTAACATACGTTTTTTAACTATTTTTTCGACAAGCTTTGACAGAGTGGGCAAGAGAGAGATTGGTCGATAATAGGGTAGTGGACAATTTCTTGAAATATTTTTTTTATTAATCTTCATAACAAAATAAACAATTGTTGATGATTCTTTGATTTTAGAAAACAAAAATATACGTAAAAAAAAATTAACAAATTTGTACCTACTTATTTTAAACGCTATAATTTACCGCCAGGAAATTACGTCATAGCTGTTATGTATGTCCAATAGCGCGTCCTTATATTTTACATGCTTTTGGAAAAAGATGCCGATAAACTTAGTTCGCACTGATTGACAAATAGAATTATCTCAAAAAGTGGGGTTATGTTGAGGGTGCGCCTAAATGTAATAATACCCGAGAGACGCTGATATATCTTTCCTTTTTGCACTAATGAGTAAGTTTGTGTCGAATATCGGACATAGATTTAATTTAATTTATACCTAAATATAACAGCTATGACGTAGAATCAGGGCGCGAAATATTTCCGTTTAAATAGTGCGTCCCAAATCTTTACTTTTACCGCCGTTTTAAACAAGGTTAGTAATTTTATCAGAAATTATTTTTGATATGAATATTCTTTATTTACTTCATAGATGAAGAATAGATCATCGATTTCATTGAAATTATACCTTGTCCACTACCCTATTGGAAGGAATACTGGGATCGCCGTCTTAATGGAGTGGAATCACAATTGAAGCCTTGAGACATGAAGGGAAACAACCATCAATCAAAGAAACATTTATAGCTTCACACAATGCAATAAGACCGCTATTTGGAAAGTTTATCAGAACGTTGGCTGAAATTTCATCATTACCTGAAGATTTTTTGTTTTTTATTTCCGAGAGTGCATCCAGGACTTCACGAAATTCTACAGGGTAAAAATGGAAGGAACTTGGCACGGATATATTTAACATATAGCTCATGGGAACAGTATCATATATAGTTCTTATATTATTATAAAATACATACGCTTTTCTTTTATTACCAAAATCCATAGGTATTTTAGATTAAGCAGCACGTGTCGCCGACAGTTTTTGTTTTTTTATGACAAAGTAATATGATATTGAAGTTACTGTCGGTTTTCACCATTCGTGTATACCAATTACCACCAAATCGGTGAAATGAACAACATTGGAACTACTACTAATAAATCACGCTTCACAATAATACGTACCTCTGTACTCTGTGTTAAATTCCGTGATTCTCACTCCTAGCCCTTATTTTGCAGTGTAGGTATGTTTCTGTACTCTTGTTCATGAAAGGAATATTGTCATATTATTTCGTAAACCAAGATTTCGAGGCTATAGCAATTTTGTAACAATGAATCGATTGCAATGACAATAGAGACAAAATTTCTGTAAATAAAGTGGGTCTACGGGCCATATCACGGAAATGAACTAACCCAAACTAACCTCTATTGGAAACCTTTCCATACTTACCAACTTTCAACCTAGTATGTAGATTGACTTTATTCCGAGTCCCCATAACTTATTCGTATAAAAGAAAATGTGAGCTTAGTAATACGCACTTGTACTTCAAAAATTATATTATATCCAACAGTTAATAATCATGATTGTTCTCCATGGACTTTTTTACAGTGTTTCGATAGGTTCGATCTATTTGAAAATGTTAGTTCACAATAAGGACATTGGAAACGAACCCCCTTATGGATATTAGTATGTGAATCCAAATGCGACTTGCATTTAAATTTTGCAGGGCACAAAGTGCAATGGAACTTCTGATTTGTTTCATGGACGAACTTTATGTGGCCTTTTAAAGATTCTGCTGTTTTCAATTTCTTATTGCATATCCAGCAAACATAAGTTTCAGCACAGGTTTCGGCATGTAGTTTTAATTTGTGAGCTTCATGGAAAGATTTACCACAGAAACTACAGAAGTATACAACTAAAAAAAAACATTAAATTAAAATAATACCAGACATTAGCCCGCCACACACACAAAGGTTTGTCTAGAGGACTTACACTGTACCGAATAGAGTTGGCGACTGTTTCGCGGATCTGTCGCAAACAAAACTAGTGGTGAAATACCTATTTTAGCTTGTCGGTCGACTTTCCCAATAATGTGGAATTCTGGCCAAAGTTTCTAGTAAAGGTCTTCACCGTTTCTGGTGACATGTATAAATAGTAAACAACTGTATTCGTCTATTGATTTGATTTCACTTTTATTGATATTTCCAAAATAATATAAAACAATTTAGATAGTAATTACCAAACCGAAAATGATGAAAAATTATATTTATATAAAGTCCAACGCTCTCAACCACCTCCCCTTCGAAACAGAGGTGTTCCTTGCTTCCCTTCGTAAGTGACGTGTCAACGATCATGCATTCGTCATTGTTTATGTGATACCTTTCAACTTTCAAGGCTCGATAAATTAAATATAAAGAACTTCACGCCTTTAAAAGTAATGCACATGACAAAGAAATAATGGATTTACTATCCCCTAGGAAAACGCAATGAGTTTTCAATCATATACCTCTCACTTTCCGCATTGGGGCAGTTTGTGCGTACAAGTACAAAATATAACAATAAAAGAGTAACTGGCGACTCTCATTTTACTTTTGAAGTACTAAATAGGTACTGTGTTGGCTCAAGTAGAAGCCATTCTCAATTCCAGGCCACTTTGCGCCTAATCAAACCACCATTTGGACCTGGATGCCCTCACTCCAGGTAATTTTCTTTGATCTTTGTTGCTCTCATTGCCTCTAAAAAAAAACAGAATGGCCAAGATTCCGGGTGATTGAAATCATTACAAGTGGAGATGATAATCTTCGCGTTTTAACATTGAGAACAAAAATCTCTGAATTCACCCGTTCTCCCTTGCCATTGAGCAATAGCTGATGCTCCAGCTAAAGCTTCAAGGAGGGAAATTATGTTGAAATTTCATTTCAAACAGCATTGAAAAATAATATCCTCCAATTCCTCCTGTTAATTACACGGAATTTTTTGTTCATATACCTACCTAGATAAAGCTCGTTCGTACGCCTACTAAAATCAGTCAATTTTTGTTAACCACTGTGGGTTGTTAACACCTGAAGTGCCGTGGTGAATCAAAGCAAAGCACCAGACCCCAAAACGGCAACGGCGCGGTGCATAACTTCAACTCCCCTTATCAATACAAATGATACGCAATGCAATTCCAAACTGTTTGGGCAAGATTTTGGTGTACTTGGCTATTGATGGTGGACTTAAGCAATCCACCATTGAAAATAAAACATTAAGTATACTTATGTGCATATTCAATATTTATAGTGATAATTTATATGGATTTAGCATTATGAAGAACAAAAAAACACGATAGGCATAGGAATTTCGAGCATTCGTTGCATCGAAATTTGGTCTTGGAAGTTCTATTTTTGGCTAGCTTTCTCCCAAGCTCAGCAACGTTCTCACGATAGCAACTCGAGCATATTTGCTTTTTTCCTGCCTCCTCCAAAACATGTTGATTTTCTGCAGGCATGAAATCCATTTGCAAGGGCATTTCTACCAATCCTGTAAGAACAAGTACCTATGTAATAGTTTTCTTTACAATTTTATGGAACAGACTTTTACCTTCGATAACCTTTTTCCGAAATTTTGTTATATCCATTTTATTATTGGTATCACATTGATGGATTCATTCACCAATGCAGACATGACTACCAGCTCAATGGCCAACTTAAGATAGGTACCACTTTAAACCTCTCCTCAAAAAAGCAAAACAACATACCCAATATGTCAATAAAACTTTTTAGTACGGGATACGAGGCCTATTTCATCAAATCATTTTACACCGTCTTGCATTGTTATCATCAGTTAGATAACATGATGGTGAAACGCACTTGTGCAGGGTAATAGATGGGAGTGGGGGATTTCGCTGAAAAAAATATTTCAGAAAATGTTGTCATAAACAAGGAAAATATATAATTATACACCGTCTTGCATTTATTTATTGAGTTAATTTGTACACAAATAAAATTGGATTAACACATGCAAGACGTTTTCATGGAGGTTTTGGAGTTGTAATATTAGATAAACATTGTCAATTTTTCAGAGGGGTGAAATATCATTTTACACCACTTCATTGTTGATTTAGATTAAAGCTTGAATATAGAATAGCTACTGGATACTGATGCAAGACGTCCTGTGGAGGTATAACGAGCTGCAAGACGGGGGTCAATGTGTTGTCTTATGAAGGAGTGAGAAATCATTTTACACTGTCTTGCACTGGTACTAATGGGAAAAACAGAACACATTGATAACATTTTTAAAAATGCAAGACGTTCTAAATGGAAAAAAAGGACTGCAAGACGGTGATGAAGTTAACTAATTTTGACGGGGGTCAATCCATCAGGTACAAAGGTGAATACCACTCCAAATTACAAATAACGCACATTAATTTTAAATATTTTTGCTCTTTACACGTAGAATAATTCTATTTTGCAAAATTCTCTTAATATTATGTATATTTGAATGTCTCTATGGACATCAAATAAGAAAAGGTTGAAAATTGTTCTTTTTCTGGCGGCTTATAATCATTTAAGTTTTTTTTGGGGTGGATATGCCATATCACATAACGGACTGTAACTATTAGCTAAATTTAGGAAATTTGAATTTGAAGCAGCAAAAAAATGACACAACAAATAATGATCTGTCTGGAATTGTAAACAGAAATTATAATTCCTGTATTCAGCAGACTCCCCTGTTGAGCTGCTATGTCAACTGTCCTTTTCCATCTGTATGATTTAGGAAAGAATGAACAGTGAACGGTCGGTTCAGTAAATAACTCAACAGTTCAGTTAAAAAAGGAAACGGATTTATTAACTTTTTTCCCCGAAAAAACGTCTTGGACTGATGTATTACCATTTCTTAACATATATTCTTCCGGCGAACATAAGCATGAAGTGGTGTAAAATAATTTTTCACTCCCTCATGAGACAACGCATTGACATCCGTCTTGCAGCCCGTTATCCCGCCACAGGACGTCTTGTATCAGTATCCAGTAGCTATTCTATATTCAAGCTTTAATCTAAATCAAAAATGGAGTGTTGTAAAATGATTTTTCACCCCTCTCAAAAATTGACAATTTCCATCTTATATCACAGCCCCAAAACCCCCATGAAAACGTCTTGCATGTGTTAATCCAATTTTGTTTGTGTACAAATTAACTCAATAAATAAATGCAAGACGGTGTATAATTATATATTTTCCTTGTTTATGACGACATTTTCTGAAACATTTTTTTCAGCGAAAAACCCTACTCCTATCTATTTCCCTGCACAAGTGCGTTTCAGTACCATGTTATCTAACTGATGATAACAACGCAAGACGGTGTAAAATGATTTGATAAAATAGGCCTCGTATCCCGTACTATTTGTATTTCTCATATTCAACAACAGACTCACAACATTTGCGGAACGTATTCGAATAATCACGTTTCCAGGAACTAATGTGTGTTTATCATCAGTATATCTTGCTTGTGTTTCTACTTTTCTATAAAAACTCCATTGTTATTCTCCTCTGTAACATTATCTGCTTATTGTAGTTAAAACAATTGGGAGAATATTTTTCCTGTTGTATCTCAAACTTCCTAGCAGGCTCCAGCTCCAGCTAACAACTTGTGCGCTAATCCAACGGATGTATAATAAATACCTACATAACAGCACAAGGTACGCCCTATACTCTGTACGGAACGGTTTCAGCTCTTTCAGAATTTGCTTCTTGGCCACAATATACTTTTAAATCGTACAAATGAATTCTTCACGGCGAAGCTTGAATAACTTGATCCCAAATTTATGTCTTCTGTTACTTATGTACTGTTTGAACTTCAGCTTTGCTTTGAATGGAAGTCCGATCAATGCAGTGATTGTCCCCAAGTACAATTTTTGATTGAAAGTATGTCAAGAAATGGCGTGATTTTGTATAATCTATCAATACCACTTTCGGTATTTTTTGAAGTACTATCCGCAAAATGCCAAGTTTTCAGTTAAATTTGAAAGCGATTACGTGATAATACTTTTTGGATAATATAGAAGGTAGGAGAAGGATACACAGGTTGCAGCCTGAACTTCTCAATCTCTTCCTGATGTTTCTTTTGATTCTTTTATTCTGCATCTCCTAAAACTTGCTTCTTCTATTCTATTTTCTTGAGCCGAATAAGTTTCTACCGCTCTTTTCGTAGCAATCGTACATGATGAACTCCCAAAGTGATTGAACTTGTTTTTGAAAAATATTTTCCTCATCAGAATAATAATTTTAAATATTTTGGGGAATAACACTGAACAAACGGCTTATGCAGCTTGACCTGCCCTGAAACTTACTACCAAATAATGCTTCGGCCTGTAAGTGCGCGCCACTGGTTTAGGAGGCAAATCAAACCAAATTAGTGAAGCAATTAAATTTACTACAAATATATTTACTTATTTGTAATTTAGAGCAAGAAAACCTATAGGGTCGTGAAGCTCCTTTATGTGCAAATGAAACCACTCAAGTTCCAACAAACAATAATTTTATTTTCACAATGTAAGTACGTAACTCGGTATGTAGATAGAGTGTTGAATTTATCCTGGAAATTTTGAAGTTATGGTGAACGTCTAGTTCGACATTTAGTTTTTCTGGTGAATCTGATACAGTATATAAGTACCTTTCCAATCCGGAGCTCTTCATTGGATGTTGGGGTTTCACTTCAGCTGAAGCTTTTCGGGTTGTTTCCTATATCCAGGAAAGAGGATGATTGCTGGTGTGACTCCAGCTGATTCAGACTCCAGTTAATGATATTGTGGAATAGGTACCCAGAAAAGAATAAAAAGTATCAGGTCCACCAAGGTTTGGAATATTAAATTCCTGAATTCTGTTAAAAAGCGAGTAAAAAAATGGAATAAGTTTTTTTTTTAGAACTATTGATGTGCAGACATTCCTTTCCAACAGAATCAGGTATAAGCACCTATTGTAAATTGGAAATTAAATCCAAGGAACTGTCAAAATTCTTGGGATGTTTTAATTAAAACTTTTTAAATGAATTTCTGACTTATCCGCAAGTCAAAAAATAAATGGCCAGACAGGCTTCTGCCTGGATTCGGCAAAGTGTTGATAGGGATGGACACACAAATTCGGTTAACACCCACTCTATTCAGAGGAAATGGTCCAATAACCCTATTCTGATATTTTTTTGTAATATGATCATTTTATAAGCTAGTAGCGTACTAATGACATAGGATGAACGAAAGATATGTAGATTAGATAAACATGAGTATTGAAAATAAATACTTGGAAACTTCCATATAATTATAGTCGGTTTCTTTGAGGGCTTGTGGAGGACGGCGGAGAAGATTTGAATTGTAGTGAAGTAAAGCCGCAGTTATTCGCCAACTGCAACAGTAGCCGTGGAAAACTAGTAGGGCGGAAGGATAAATAATAGCCAATTAGATAGGTACCCACTCTTCTAACAGAGACATGAGACAAGTACTAGCGTTGTGAGTTATGAAAAGGCGAACGAATAAAATACACACATGAGTAATAATAAAATCCCGCCAGGCAGCGACGTTTTTGCAATAAAACCCAATACCAAACTGCAACCATATGAGTACACAACTATGCAAAAATCCTTTCTGATTGAAATCCACAGATATCAAGGTATTCCGCAGCGGATGTTTAGGAATGACTAGGGACAGTTATTATAGGGCATGTCCATGTGACGTCACAAATGAGTTTGACAGTCGCCCTGAGGTAAAACAAATAATTTATTTACATTCGTTTAGATTAGGCCGGTTATGTTTTATGCGGTTTTCACAGCTTTTTCACAAGTTTTGGTGTTATTTTGTTTAAAAAAAGTTAGAGCGGAGTGTTTGTGTTCTAGTCTATGTGGTCTTGCATCTAAAAGTTTGCTAGGTTTTTCTATAATGGATTAAATTCAGGTTTTTTCCAACAAATATCAAAACCAAGTGGCACAAGAACAAATATCACAAACACACAAAAAATAACAAAGTATAGTTACTCTATATTCAATCTATTTTTCTGTCAGATCTTCTCTTTTAACAACATAAATCAATTTTTCTCTTCTTTCTTGAGCTAACAAATCAAACCTCCCATTGTTATTTAAAATTGATGGAAACCTATGGAAGAATATTATATCCTTTGCGCTATACTGCCACAATTAACAACTAAACAAACTCTAGGCACAGCTAAGAAACTTCTGGAGCACAGAGAAGGTATTTATTTGAAAAAATCTAACTATAAACTTAAAAAACACTGTAAATTATATGTTTGTTTTACCTCAAGGCGATTGTCAATAGTGTCAAACTGTCAGATCGTGTACTTGCCCTATTGCAATAATCTATATATATAAAAATGAATGCCACTTTTCGTTGTAATTTTATAACTCAAGAACGGACTCACCTAGCCAAACCAAATGTTTAGGCTTTGTTCGGACTATTTATAAGATGGTTTATGTGAAGTTTGCACAAAATCGGTCGAGCGATTCTTCATTTATCACATTTTTTGTAATAAATTAATTATTCAATAAATGGAGCATCATTTTGCTGTCAAATTCAAACTTTTTTCAGTGTTGACATTACCAGCATGTTGTCATGTCATTAATGTGGTCATTTCATTACTTATTTTATTTATTTATGAAATAAATTTACTAAGCCCGCATACGGCGCCATGTCTTATAACCGATACCAAGTTTATTTTGTATTTTGTATACCGCGCCATCTCTGATACCTGGAACGAAGCTCGGCATTGCAGATACAGTAGAACAATGCTGCACAGAACTATTCCACTATTCCGATCAGATAGAGTTGTGCAGAAAGAGTAGGTCAGATAGAGTAGTGCAGATAGAGTAGAACATATAGAGTAGTGCAGTGCATGCAGTGCAGATAGAGTGAAATAGGGCTGCGCTAGAGATTTTTTTTGTTTTCTTTACATTCTTTGAACATTCCTGTGCCTGAGTTTATTTATTTGGTGGTACACTTTACAAGAATAATGCCCACAAGCTGCCTAAAAAAGGATGATGTAAAATTTTAATTTTAGGTGCCTTCTGATCCAGAGAGTAAACATTAATTTTCTTCAACCAAAGCCAAATTCACCATCGAAAAAAACTGAATTTAATTCAGCTAATAGATACGTTAACACAACATTTAATAGGTATATTTAATAATTCAGAGGCGGTACGAAGTTCGCCGGGTCAGCTAGTTTATTATAAATTTCGAAAAAAAAAAAAATAAAAAAATAAAAAAAAAAACAAAAAGAAAATAACAACAACTTGTAGATAATACAGAACTTGTCTCAATTCTGCTTGTAACGTAGATGATATTAATTCTTTTGACAAAGAGTTTGTTCAAAAAATTTAAAAAAAATATATATATGAGTGTCCCACAATCAGCGTTACAGGCCACAACTTTCTTTTTTTAGAAATAAAATTTAAAACAAAAAAATGACTAATGGTTAGTTAACCTCTCTTCAAAAATAAATATAAAAAAATCTTCCCCTGACAAAATCATCCCCTATTTACAACCCTTGACTTTTTTTTTCAATTGGCACCCCTATTATTTATTTTTATTTTTGAGAAGCTCATGAAATTGCAAATTCAATGATGTACGAAAATTTTGTTTTCCCATGTTTCCTTGGAAAAAAAATTCGAAATTGGAATTAATAATAATGGGGTTCTATTTGAAAAAAAAAGGCAAAAGTTGTTGTAAGGGGATGATTTGGTTAGGGAAGATTTTTTTTATATTTTTGAAGAGGGCTTAATTTGCACACAGTTAATTTTTTTTTTGTCAGATTCGTATTTTTGTAGACGAAAAAGTGATCGCCTGTATAAGGCTTATGGTGGGACATCCATTTTTTTTTTCCTCCAAGAGACATAGAAAAACACAATTTTTATACACCATTGAATTTGTAATTTCATGAGCTTCTCAAAAAGGAAAAAAAAATATAGGGGTGCCATTTGAAAAAAAAAGTCAAGGGTTGTAAATAGGGAATGATTTTGCCAGGGGAAATTTTTTAAATATTTTTGAAGAGAGCTTAACTAGCCATTAATATATATTTTTTTTTTCAAATTTTTATTTCTGAAAATAAGAAAGTTATAGCCTGTAACGCTCATTGTGGGACACCCTGTATAAAATATATAAACAGGGTATCTGACCACTTTTCACCCAGATAGTAACTACGGAATGCGCATCCAATATAATTGAAATTTTGCCAATTTAAGATTTTAATAATATTCATCATTTATTAACAAAATACGATAATAAAGTATAAATAGAATATAGTATAAGTTAGTATACACACACAGTGAAAAAAAAAAGTATACACAAAAACAATCTTATTCAGTAGGTACCTATACATACAAAATTAAGAGAAAACACAATCAACAACAACAATATAAATCAACAGAATAAAGATAAATTGGCATTACTTACCTGTAACATGTATAAATAACGGAAACAAAATTAGAGCTTATTTCACCAAAAAAGTTTAAGAAAAAAACAATTCTCTAGATTATGTGAGTAATTATGATGTTCAAAAACGTATCCGCACTATTAAATAATATAGTGCCTATCCTAAATGTTCAAAAAATATACATTCAAATAATAGATAATATTATGGCTTTGTTTGTGAAAATTATGATTTTTTGAATACATTTCAAAACAGTTTTTGAAGATATTCAGTGTTCGAGCAAAAATAAATATTTTATGCTATATGGGTTGTGATTTACAAGAGGGGTTAGTTAAAACAAGTCAAGCGAGCTACTTCCGATCTTTATAAAAATCTCCAAACTCTATAGTCACAAATTGGGAATTCAATTCACTATGATCTCCGCGAAATGTTGGTCCATGAGTATGTGCCACTGATTTGATGCGAATACTTCTGCCAAACGACATAAACTTTGCTTTGCATAGACAAGTCTTGTTAGATTGATTGCACCTCCATATACTTCTAGTTGCTGTACGATATTGTAATTTGTATTCGAAGTTATCCAGAATCATTTTTGGGTGTTTTCGTCCACGGGTGAAGTAGATTCTTCCCGTAACAACTAAAACAAACAGAGGTCAGTTACAAAATAATTTTACAAACGTCTAATTCGACACAGATATGGTTATTGAGGAATTTACAGAATCGCCTGGTCCTATAAGATTTCCTCTCTCATTTTGCATGACTCCAATTATTTTCTTATCTTTATAGATAACACAATGTCTTTTCAATAAATATCACAAGGGAAATGATTTGACTAACACAACATTCTCTCATATACTTACTTAAAACTTACTTACCACTGCCAATCCTTGTTTTTTTTTTTTGGTTCTGTATATTCTGACTCAGTTAAGCCAGAAACAATTTACCCAGTTGAAGAGAATCGTAAACTATCCAAGCTGACCATTTCGTTATCCATTTGACAGTTTGAATCATATACTTATACGATACTTACGAGTCGTGAAAATCCGTGCATAGTAGATAACAATTCTCTTAAGTTGGTAGTCGAAACAGAAGCCATTTGGCCTGCTATGGAACATGAAATTTCATGCTTTTTTCTACGTTCCTGGTATCAGACCAAAAGCTTTGATATTTGTCTTTGGTAAATTTTGTAAAAAAACTGTAATATACAATTTGTCCAAAAAAAGAGTAATCTCACTAAATTTTCCGCTTCTCGAGGCAGATTGAGATTGTCTTTATTAAATAAGTATATGAAACGAAAAGACTAACATGAAAAATACAAAAAACACGTTTTTTTCCATTAGAGAATGCATTCGCAATTCGCATCTATATATGAACTACGCTTTAATTTGGCTTCTATGTAGACGCCATCTGCCGCTATCTGGCGACACGAACTCCAAGTGATAGAGTAAACGAAGCTCTCTTCCAAACAACACCTCAGGGCCCGGATTCTCGTCACCGAGGAACAGCGTTCTCTCAAGAGAACGATTGCTTTATCTTAGTCGCCCATATTGTTGTTTCCATAATACTGACAAAGACAGAGCAATCGTTCTCTTGAGAGGACGCTGTTCTTCGGTTACGAGAATACGGGCCCTGGATGAATTAAGTACAGCCAACCTGTATGTCATCAGAAACATGCAAGTTTTAAATGCAATGACTGCATTGCATTGCCAGTGCCGACAACCACTGGATTGTTTTGTGAACAGCTAGCAGTTCACAAAGGAATCTGAAATAATTGTGATGGGATTCCAAATCTAGTAAAAACATTATTGCATACACATCGCCTTGAAAGTAGGCTTCTAGGTGTAATTTTGAGCCAGGAAGGCCTGAATTTGCCGGCCTACAAATTGGCCACTTTGTAATGACCCGTGAAAATAGACCCGTAATTCATAATGTCTTTACTGTAAAAATTTAATGTAATCAAATAATCAAAAACTGAATCTCCAATAATTAACATCAGTATCAATAACTTGAAAGATGATGAAACAAATTAGCATTGACCCAAATTAATTAAAATATTTATATCGGTACGTTCAAATTTTAAACAAGCCATCAGTGACCAAGCACGTGTCATCATTTGAACTCGTAAATAAAAATCCGGAAAAGATAAATTACAAGATTAAGCACCTAATTAAATTGGACCCAAAATGACGAAAGTTTCGAACAGATTGCATCATACTCTAAATGATGAAATTAATTTTGGAATAATATCTAGATCGACCAATAGAATTGACTTATAGATGGTCAAACGACCGCCCATTGTCGATTTTGGTGGTCAATTAATAATATTTTGGGGGGAATCGAAAAATATAAAAACAGGCGGTTTTTAGAAGTGGGAAATCAGATCAGTTTAACTTCAGTCCGGTTCAGTTTCAAGTCTACAGTACCTAATGAGTCAGTGCAGATAAAATTCGCGAAGAGTTTCTTTCATTTTTTTTGCCTCGGGAAAACGCGTTAAGTCTTTGAAAAGTAACGGAAAATTATGAATGAAAGGCCATTTAAATTCGTTCAACATTATGTGCTGATTTTTTTGAAGTAAATTAATTAGGTATTTTATCGGATGACAAGTTGTGACTATACTTTATTTTTTCCCAAGATAGATTTTGACATTGAAAACTTTGAAACATAAACAATAAAGCTTGACCCTGATTGGTCGCAAAATGAGGTGTTTCTGCAGGTTGACATCAGTTTTACAATAGCGGCCAATAAGTGGCATTAGCGGCATTGTTTATGTTTCAAAGTTGACAATGTCAAAATCTATCTTGGAAAAAAAAAAGTATAGTATTGTTTTATTTTTGACTATAAATGATGAATGATAAGAAGTGAATTGACATTGAACTTTAATGCATAAAAACTTGAGTGATTTGACTGTAAAAACTTTATTGCATAACTTTAATTATCTACGAATATAATGACATTTTAATTAATTTTGCAAAGAATTTAAAAAGGGAAAATTATAATGCTCTCATCAATTTTCGATTTTGACTAGGAATTATTAAAGAACTTTGAATTGGATTGTTCAATTGAAGTTTAAGGGCTATAGTAACGAACTTATAAGAATTCAAATAATTGTGTTTGTTGACTAGGAATTCGAAAATAGTAGGTAATTGATCTTTAGAAAAGAAGGAACCATACAATATAATTTGAAGTTTTGAAAAGAAACTTGTTGGTCATAAAGTAACTTGTTGATCTTATGTGCTGAAATTTTGATTTAGGGTTTTAACCACTTAGAAATTATTGTCAGGTTTTTATAAAAATATAGTTGATAATACATACAGGGTTAGTAAAAAGTACTGCAACACTTAAATATCTTCAAAACTGCTTAAGCTGCGTTCACACAATTTGGAATCTGACAGTTTTCAGGCATGCGTAATTCAACAGTGCTATTGGCAATGTTGCCAGATTTCCCAGTTTTGCGCTACACGTATTCTTTTTGTTATCTTAAATAGAATGTCCCATTTATTTTTATTGCAATGAATTGGGCGTGCCAAATTTGATAAGACTCCAAATTTTCAGAATTCTATCTCTACTAGTTGTTGAAATAATATAATAATAATATATAATAATTTCCATATCCTACAAATAAAAAAAAAATCCCCATATGTAGCGAACATTATGGGGGACTCTGTATATGGATAATCCTCTGGCATAAAAACACTATTCATTTTTTAACTAATATAGAAAATATACTATGCAAATGCACGTCTTCCAGAAATTTCCTTGTCTGAACAAAATTCGGACACCGACGCCACAGTAGCCAAGTCTATTTGGTGTATAAAAACACAGAGAGTTGTGAGTTTCTCAACTGAAAAAATAAGTAAATATATAATTGAAGTATTTTTAATTTTATTTTCATCTAGTCTATAGACGAATTAACCAGCGAATTAATAAAATACAGAAAGTTTGAAACATATAAAACTAATAATATTATATCTATACTATCTAATAAAGGCATTAATTTTAAACATTATGTAAATGCAAATCTGTCCAGGGTAAGTAACACCGGATAAAGAAACTCTCCGTTGCGATATCGGGTGTTACATTCAAATTTGCGAACGTGAGCCAAATGGGTGTTACTTACCTCCATGCGGTCCGGACTATCAATGTTGCTGTTTACCATATTATAAATAAAAGTTAAACCTGCTTTATTTCTACGCTCATCCAAAGTTTTTAGACTAAGTAAATTTTGAATCTAGGTATAATTATAGTCCTGTTCCTGAATAGTAACTCTCTAACCTGATTGCACAATACCTTATGAATTTATGCTGTATTCTTTCCACGGTACAAACATGAACTGCATGGAAAGGTGTCCATACGACAGCCGCATATCCAAGTTGTGATCTTACTAAGGAACAATAGACACCTCTAATGGTATCAATAGCAAAAAATCTGCAGTACCTTAAAATAAAACCCAGCATTTTGGAGGCCTTCACTGTGACATAATTTATATGCTCCTCCACACTTCTAACAGGTCCTTTCTTGTAAAGCAGTAATTTTCTCTAGGATTTGGTGAGCACTTACCTATAGTATTCTATGACCGTTTCTGCGCGTGAATAGCCTAATAACGGACTTGAACGTTGGGCTGCATTAAGCCTGACTTGGTAACGACCACATTCAGTAGGGAGTCTTGCGTTTGTCTTTTTCGGTTCGGTAACTGCCTTCCGTAATAACATTGTTAAGCTTTCTGCAATCGACGCAAAATCTGGTAGATCCACCTATTTTAGTAGTTGTTACTACATAACTACATCAGCTTTATGAGAGATACTACTGTATGAGTGAAGACCTGTAGTTCTGTAGTTAATTAACTTCTTCCTGACGTTGTAAGGATAACGTGGCGTTAATTATTTTTAAGCAGACTAGACTATCCTGGAAATTATCACAGTGTAGCACTTCTGATGGCCCTGCAAGTCAGTCGCATGCATGGGCTCACCCATTCGGAAGATAGAATATGGGACGCCACGCAATTATTCACCAGAGTGTCAATCCGTAAGCAAGATATTAGAAATAATAAACAAATATTCATGGCTGGCTGATGGCAATTATCAGTTATGCCAGTTAAAGGTATTTGCACTCGGGAAGTGATCCAGAACCAAATTTAATATTAAAGAAAAAAAAAACACTCAATGGAGGATTTTGTTCAAGAGCTTAAAATCCAGTCCAAATAGTGAAAACACAAAACTATGCTTTAACGGCTGCCAGCACAAGAGCAACTAGAGCTGTTACAATAAATCGTTAAGTTTGGTATTTATGGAATCAAGTTGTGAAAGCACAGATGGGGGTTGATGAATGAGAGACATACTATAATAGTAGAAATTCCACCAGACCAGAAACTGCAGAAATTTTTCATAAACGCACAGCGGGACTATACTCCCCTATAGGCTCCCAGCGTCCTCAACAATCAAATCAAATATCCAACTGCTCGTCCAAAAATTTGGACAGCAAGTTCACTCGATTTGAAACCAATCCAAAAAATGAAGAAGATTGAGTCCCAGAAACGCATCACGATAGCCATGAGCCGGAAGTAGAATGGCTTGTGGCCGCCATTCCGCCAAACACCAAAAACAAAACAAAAATAGACCAATTACCGATATGAAAACTCCAAAATAAATTCTGGCTTTGAATTTGTGTGAGTAGGTACTTTTGAGATCACAACCCTAAGGTTACAATGCAGGGAGATAATAGATGAGCTCATCTTAATTTTAGTAGGAGTATAAGTAATACTTATGTGACGCGCATAGGAATTCGAATGTCGCGCGCAGCGATGCAAATCAAATCCATACAAGTCACATGAAGATTACTTATACTCCGAATGAAATACAATATAACAATATAATAATAATAATCAATTATTCCTGGCATATTTTAGTAAATATCGTGAAATTTATAGAGCATTAATAAGAGCTGCTAAGCAAAGATACTATACTAATCGAATTGATCAATCAAACAATAAACACAGAGAGAGTTGGAGGATTGAAAACGAGTTGAGCAAAAGGGATGGAATAAATACCATTTCCAGGCTTACTTGTGATCAATTCAATTTTTTTTTTCCTAAGGTTGCGGCGAACTTATCTGCAAATATTAGTCCTGACAAGAACGTCCTAATGTATCTTAAGGAAGTCACGGTCAGAGACACCTTTTATTTTTATCCGACGGATATAAATATTTGAAATTAGGAAGGCCTTTGGAGACATAAAAAATAAAGATTCCTCTGGATGGGACAATATTTCTTTGAAAAAATAAAATTCAAAATAAAAACATATTTAATAAATATAAAAAATTCGCATACATTTCCCAATCCGTAATTAAAATCTTGTTTTGTGAATGTATTTACAGTGTTTCAGCAGATTGGACCTATTCGAAAATGTATTTTCACAGTGAGTACAACTAAAACGGACCCCTTTGTGAATATTATTATGGCTTTCGAAGTCCGACTTGCACTTAAATTTTGCTGGACACGTAGGACATTGGAATCGAAGATCCTTTTCATGAACGAATCTGACGTGGGATCTCAATGAATCCATTCGTTTAAATTTCTTATCGCATATCGAGCAAATGAGCTGGCCACAGATTTCGATATGATTTGTACATTTGTCGAGTTTTGTATAACCCTTGCCACAGTTAGTGCAAAAGTACATTTCTAAAAATAATACACATATTATTAAAAAAAAAAAAAAAACAATAAAAATAAGCCATAAGGAAAGGAGGTTGCTTGCATGTGTTCGAATAAGGAGGGAAACAATTTTTACTTCATGCAAAATTCTAATTTATTGAAAAGTCAGCGTAGTAGAGCGCTTTCGCCATCATCAGTACTACCTGCAAGCGAGCAAAAGAAGATGAAATTATAATAAAGTAATTGTAAATATATGTATATGTATATGTATAATAAATTGGTGGATGTAAAATTTACTTTTTCCTTTACATATATTTTACAATTACTTTGTTATAATTTCATCTCTTTTGCTCGCTTGCAGGTAGTACTGATGATGGTGCAAGCGCTCTACTACGCTGATTTTTCAATAAATTTGAATTTTGCATGAAAAACAAATTGTTTACTTCCTTAATAAACATTCTTTGCATAAATCAATACCTTAAAACTCATAAATTTAGAATAGTCTGAAACCTAATTTTATTGAAACGAGTAACATATATTTTATATCAAGTTAAGCATTATTGGCACCAGCTTCGCTATTGTAACAGATACAAATCTAACGCCATCGCGTCTGAAGACCTCACTAAAATATCCAATCGCTAGTTGCGACAAGCAGTATATAATAAACCGAAACGTTACAAAGAAAAAGACATTTTATTCATATTCAATTTGCCTACACCCAGGATATGCAATAGAAACTTATAAATAAGTACATGAGATAACATATTTATGCGTTTTTATCATTTTCACTTCTACTTCCATCAGCTTCGTTCACCTCAAGTTTTATATAGGAATCATCTTCCCCTTCCTCCAACAGTTCATCAAATTGGGGCTCTGCATAATCTGATCTCCACTCCCTGCAATTGTATTTTAAATTTTTTGGTCGGTTTTTATGTTTTGACTGCCTCATTGAGGTTGATTGTTGCCTTCGCACACTATTTTTCAGAATTCTTTTGAAGAAATCTTCATTTTGAGCTTCAGTGAATTTCGAGTCTGCTAATGTTATTATAGATCTAAAGCATTTTCGAAAATTCTCGAAAAATTTAAGGGGAACTTTTTCCATTCCCGGACCCTGTCGAGTATTGCCAGTCCATGAACATTGAGTAGCAAAACTCCTCGTAAGGAAATGGTCTATGAGTTTATAGCAGCAATCTATACCTATGCTAGTACCACTTTTGCCACAAATGTAAGACATTGATTCCACAACTTCCAACATATAATTTTCTTGTTTCAATTTTTCCTCAAATTCGGATAACTTTTCTGGAGAACCTATGGGCTCTATTGCAGGTCTTTTGGCTACTTCGGACGTTGAAGCTTGGGCAGGCTCATTGTAAATATATCCTTCATCGTGTGGTTTATTGAAGTATTCGTAAATCGTTTCAGTTAAGGTATCTAAAGATTTTTGAAATTTTGACTGCCGTTGCATCATAATTTTTTGATTCGCTACTATAGTTTTTAAGGAAATTTTTGTCGACTTCTTTTTTCCTAAAAAAAATTTAGTGAAAAATTCAATTTCAGTTGATACCTTATTCAAGTTACAAATTTTAGTTACGTGAAGAAACATTCGAGGATTGTTATTTTCTTATTGGACACTAGAAAAATGTAATGTCCGACTAGACAAATTATGGAGATCCTTAAATGTTTGTCAGAATGAATGGAATTTGTCGCTTTAATTGGGCTTAGAGAAAGTAGTAAACTCAGTTTAAAAGATTACCTATTGCAGGGCAGAATAGGAAATATTTATTACATTGCAGATCAAAATATCGAAATTAACGAAAAAAAAAGGTCTAAATTAAAATACCAAAAAAATTGCTCATGCTAACTAAAATCAGTAAATGCCATCCTCACCCATAGGGTCGACATATCCAAGAAATCTTGAATATGTGCGAGTTATTTAAAGGTTATATATTGCGCTTAGCGATTAGCTGTTATGAAATATAGGATGTTAAGGAAAGCACACACGCACGTGAATAGAAGCTTTTATTATCAAACTTCAGCACGCATGTTTGCAGAGGTCGCACCAGGAAAACATATGTATTCATGCTCTAAGAAACTCCCCAAACTCTATAGTCACCAATTGGGAATTTAGTTCACGATGATCTCCGCGAAATGTTGGTCCATGAGTATGTGCCACTGGTTTGATGCGAATAGTTTTACCAAACGACATAAATTTGGCTTTGCATAAACAAGCACTACTAGATTGGTTGCACCTCCAAATACTTTTTGTATCTGTGCGATATTGTAATTTGTACTCAAAGTTATTTAGAATCATTCTTGGGTTTTTTCTTCCACGCGCAAAGTAAATTCTTCCCATATCAGCTAAAAAAAATCTTTTTGTAGACATGTTACAGATTATTTACATCAGTTCATTCCTACTCTTCCAACTCAAAAACAAAGAGCAAGGAAGCAAATAATATAGAAAATTCTAGGAGGAACGACGCGCTATAAAACGTGGTTGGCCACCGAGGGAAACAATCAGTGGTAAAGTAAGTGCCACTGTGTCAAGAATCAGATAGTTGAGAAGTGAACGTGTTATTATCGGAGAATCAGTGTAACGCGAATCGATATTTAGATTAACATGTTGGTTCCCTGGAAAAGGAAAATTAAATCTTGTTTCCTAATAGCTTTGAGCCTGCTTCAATTTTGTTATTATAAATCAAGACATCGAATATTTCCAGAGCGGCTTGGAATAGAATTACGAAATTTTCTGCATATGGGTAAATGATGCCCAATTCAATGATGTCATCGACAATGTTTACTGGTTTTCAGATAATGTAGGTAACTTCGTTTTTTTAAATAGGAATAACACTTTATTTTCATTGCAATAAATTCGATGCTCTATTGTCAACTACTTAAGTAAATACACATCAATTTTACTGATGTGTGTCGATGAGTCAAATTATTTTGGTATAATTATCGCGCCGAAATCCATTACCGGAAGACTAAGGCTAGTGCAAAGAACCTCAATTGGGAAAAGCTCCTCTAGCACGTACACCGCCACCATGAGATGACCAAATCCAAGCCCTCCAGACCACTCTTATATTATGTAATATGATCGCTTACTTCTAATATTTCTTTGCAAAACTCAAACAAGAATTTTTTTTCGTAGGGCAAAATTTTTTTCTAGCCCGTCAGGCCACACAAAATATCGTTTCATATAAATACAGGCGGTCTGTGACACTGCAGCAGTAACATAGACCCATATAGCATGATAGTCATGATACGTAGTGAGGCACATTCGACGAGTCGCAGTCCCTGAAGTTTATATTTTCTGAGGCACTAACTACGATTCTCATGGCAGTGAACGTGCTAGCTAAGTCCCCTCCCAGAGCAAACTACCATTATTGGGAAACGCCCTTCTGGGAGTATTGATCGCAGCAGACTAGGTCCAGTGCAAATCCCTTTTATTGGGAAACGCCCTTCTGGGAGAATTGGACGCAGCAGACTAGGTCCAGTGCAAACTACCATTATTGGGAAACGCCCTTCTGGACCTGTCTCGAACTCAGCTTCAGTCTTCAGTCACGTCAAGTGTACAGAGTGTACATAATACAGAATGGCCTAAGTAGTACGTCCCTCCGTAGAAGAGGTATCATTTCTAGGGTAATATTATTCTTTATATTCAAAACATATTTCATTGTACCCATACCAAGTGAGTTTCTCTCTACCTGAACCCCATCTACGCCCCCAGGTCACGCTCCTGTTGAGACGTCTAAGGACAAAACGTATAGGGGTTGTGACATATTTGGTGGAGGCGCCGGGCGGTAAGGGAATAGGGTACTTGCATGAAAAATTAATTTGATTATTGTTTATTACAAACTGTAGGAAATCGAAAAAAATCGATGCGTGCTTTTCTATTTTGTCCAAATATGATTATTTCGGAAGTTAAAACAAATATTGAGTTTTATATATATATATATATAGATATACTGAGCATGTGCGACGTCACAACTCACAATGTATTATACCTAAGTTATGACGTCGGAAGGACATTTCAAAGCGTTGTACCTCCGTCAATTTTTGACTTACAAGAAAAAGAAAAAATACGTGTTGACTTATTTTTCATGGACTATCGAAATCAGCAATAAAAAAATTTGATGCAAGGAGCCTATTAGGAAGTTTAATAGTAGTAAGAAGCTAGTTTACGACAGCATATCATCCATGCTGTATGGATTAACACTATTAACAGAAAGGCTAAATAAGACAAATACCTGACCTGTTGTCAATGTATTGTAATACACAGCAAAACAGACTGTTGTAGCTATCCACCGTTTATTACGTTCGCTTATACAGGGTGTCCCAGCCGAGAGTGACCCATTTTAAATGCCTATAACTTTTGAACCAGGCGTGCTAGCTACCTGTGGTTTGTGCCATTCGATTTATCTTGGCCTATAGTTTTTTTAGTATATCCTATTCACAATCCGATGTCCAAAGGTACAGGTAAATGTATCACCTTTCGCTATCAAATAGCATTGAAAGGTGATAAATTTTACCTGTACCTGTGGACATCGGATTGTGGCTAATAGGATGCAGATTTTTTTAGAACTTATACAGGGCGAGAAAAAAAAAATCCGTTTTTCAACATTGAAATTTTCCACTATCAAAACGTCAAAAAAAAAATTGCATATTCAAGGTATCCATATACCTATAGACATCGTCCCTGAAACTTGAAGTTTTAGCCGTAAAAAATCAAAATCGAAATCTTGGTATTTTTGCAAATGCATGCAATGCTTGATGATACAACATAGATATCAATTAAGTTAAAATACATTTTCCAAGTAAATTTAACGAGGTCCAGAGTATTTTCTCTGGAACTCGTTAAATAAAGATACCCCAACAGTACCGGTTTGGTGTGCAATTTCTATTGAGAAAAAATACAGACCATTTCCATTGATGAACCAACGATAAAAGAAACTGTATATACTGATATGTTCTTTTTCCCAAAGTTGAGGAAGGAGGGTATCAAGGATGATATCTATTTTCAGCATGATGGTGCCCCCACCTCAAAATTTTTTAATAGCAAAGGAATCACTAGATATGACACATGGGGAAAGACGGACAAGAAGAGCTGATCCTAAAGTATGGACACCTTACTCTCCTGACTTGAGAGTTCTAGACTTTTATCTCTGGGGTTATGTTAAGGAAAGATGCGGTAATACTTTGCTTAAATAACCTTGAAGATCTTAATCGGAACATCTGTAATGCCATTGAAGCGATTCTCCAGGAAATGTTACACAATTCGTTCAACCATTTACTGATCCATAAATTCCTGGAACAGAATGGCTAACAGTTTTTATTAACTTTTTATCAGGCAAACATAAGTTCCAAGTTCCAAGTTTTGAGAATGAGAATATGCGTTTGCAAAAATACCACGATTTTATATTATCAACGCTCAAACTGCATAAAACTATACAAAATGCTGTACCATAATGGTTATGTTAGTCATTCTGTTCCAGGCATTTATGAATCAGTAAATGGTTGAATGAATTGTGTAACATTTCCTGGAGAATCGCTTCAATGACAACAAATGGCCCGCTTAAGATCTTCCAGGTTATTTGAGTAAAGTATTACCGCATCTTTCCTTAACATGACCACAAAGATAAAAGTCTAGAACTCTCAAGTCAGGAGAGTAAGATGTCCATCCTATAGGACCAGCTCTCCTTGTCCGTCGTTCCCCGAATGTCATTTCTAGTGATTCCTTTGCTCTTAAAGAATACAAGAATAATGAGGTGGGGGCACCATCCTGCTGAAAATAGATATCATCCAAGATACCCTCCTGTCTTAACTGTGGTAAAAAGAACATATCAGTGTATACAGTTTCTCTTGTCGTTGGTTCATTAATGAAAAGGGTCCGTATTTTTTCTCTATAGAGATTGCACACTAAACCGTTACTGTTGGGGTATCTCAATTTGACGAGTTCCAGAGAAAATACTCTGGAACATGAATCTTTTTTTTTAACGTTGTGATATACAGGGTGTTCCGTTAGAAATAGTGGCGAATTTCGATGTTGAAAAACGGATTTTTTTTTCTCGCCCTATATAAGTTTCAAAAAAATTCGCAACCTACTAAAAAAAAACTTTAGGCCAAGAGAAATCGAATGGCACAAACCGCAGGCCACACCTGGTTCAAAAGTTATAAGCAATTAAAATGGGTCACTCTCGGCTGGGACACCCTACCCTGTAATAGAGCAATACAAGATATGGCTCGATTTAGACCATTTATGTTAACGTACGCAAAGGAACTCACGCTGCCTACTGAAGCTGTGCTATTGGATGCTGAAAATGGAACGGACCTGCTACAAATCAGGGAAAAGGCACTCTTAATACGATCGATAGCAGTGGAAAATATACAGAAAAAGACAAGGGAAAGATAAGGGGCATTTTGACGAAAGACATAGAGAATTGGACTTAAAGCTGGAGAAAAAGTTAAGATGTTTATCCCAATCAGAAAGGTTGGGAGAAGTGAGAAGTTACTTTTGAGATGGTTTG